GGCAGAGTAAGGTAAGAGTCCTATACAGCAATTACATATTACATGTTAATTGTTAGACTAACTCTTTGTCTCTCCCACTAGATGGCATGCTTTTGAGAGTACAGGTCTCTTTAACCACGGCTTTTATATTTCCAGCACCTAGTTTCTGGTGATACTGAGTTTTCTATAGTTGGAGATGTTCCTGGAGGGGCTGGGAGGTGTCCTAACTATGGCTGCGGGGATTCAGACACTGACTAGGGGCCTGGATGGGAGGCATGAAGTACAAACGGTGAGTTCTCCGTGAGGCAGGCACTATGCAGGGTATCTTATGACCACAAAGATGCAGAGGTCTGGAGCCTGAAAACTGCATGCAAGTCTCAATTTCAAGCTTAAGTTTCCTCATCTGCTAAAATAGCTCATCAATAACTGGTTGTCGTGATATCACGAGATGAAGTGAATTAATACAGTGACTGGAACCTGGTAGGCATTCAAAAATTTGTTTCGGTTTACTCTCCCTAAACGTATTAACCACTGAAAGAGTTGATCAGCTTCATATTTTGTTATGTGGGAGATTTTTTGAACTCTACTCTTCAATTCCCCAAATCCACTTCAATCACGAAGATGGATCTGTAAAATTTAAATGTATCCCTTAGTAGGAAGTCAGTGAAAAGAAACTTTAAAATATTAAAAGTCTGGATTAGGATGTGTAACAATGAAACCAAAATTCCCACTTTTTTAGACTCTGTTAATACTAATGGTTTTGAACAGCAATCTCATTTACTGTAAGCTGTTGCTTGTCAGGCAAACTGCACGGAGTGGATTTGATTACCTATATACATTCTGTGTGGTCAGAAATTTAATGCTGGGACCCAGCAGGGAAGAAAGAAAAGTCTGAAAACAGAATTGGCTCACAGTGTCATTTATAATAAAGGGAACCTTTGCTAAGAAATTTTATCTGAAAGGTAAGAACTCCTTTGAGATTTTTACCATCAACTCAGCACGGTGCTATTATTTTGTTACTGAGACACTTAAACTTTTGTTTTTCTTACCCCTTACAGAGGAATCAATAGTTTAAAGTTAGAGCAGAGAATAGCAGCTCTTGAGTGTTAATCTGAGCTTGGTACTGAGACCTCAAAGATTGTTGTCGGCAGCTTATCAGCCATGTATTAAACTCTGTACATACTCATTGTTTATAGGAAAAAAAATTAAAATATGACATATGACAGGTTTTAATAAAACATGGCATAAAGGGTTTTTAAAGAATAGCTATCTACTTTTTCCTATTACCAAGAGTATGTTATCGGAGATGTATTTCAAGATATCTGCTAAGTTCATGATATTTTCTCCTTCTCTGGAAACTAGTGTCTCCCCACATCATCCTTGGGGTTAGGGTCCCAATAACCATGCTTATATTGCGTGAACTTGACCTTTACCCTATCCTTGCCACTGGTGGCTGGTAAGTAGTAGATCCCCGACTTAATTTCCAGAAACTGTCCTCTAGTCATAGCTGACTGACTAGTGTTGGACACTTGACAAGCCTGGGTGAATAGGATTCCCTCACCTGGGGATCTAGACTAGGACTAAGAGACAGACAAACCAGTGAGTATCTGTAGGTGACAAGAACTGGTCACAAATGTGGCAGCCCTAGGGTGGACATACATTGATCAGAGAAGCCAACAAATCCAGTCTGTAGACTAAACTGAATAAAAACATATATGCACGTGATGTGATGAGCACTGGGTGTTATACGCAACTGATGAATCACTGAACACTACATCTGAAACTAATGATGTACTATATGTTGGCTAATTGAATTTAAATGAAAAAAAAACATATGCAGAGAACAGAGATGAGATATGAGGATTCTTGACAATTTTCTATTTCCTTGTTCTAGACCTTTCTTAAGGCCTGATGGCATTGCTATTAGTGGACTTCATGACTCTATATTCATATAACCCCCCCATCTCTGTTGTGGATTTTTAACTCATTCATTCAATAGGTACTTATGTCATGTCTCAGGAAAAAGATGGCAGAATCAAGACTAGGTTCTGGGTTTCCTGCGGGTTGTTTATAGGGGAGAATATATTTTCTCTTTCTCATTTTGCAGTTTTAAGATTGTCTAAAGATTTTAAATACTGATACCTGACAAAGATACGTTAGAGGAACCCATTTCCCCTTTCCAATAGAAAGGAAAACACAAGCAGAAGGGAAATCCAAGCCTCCAAGTGTTTATAAACGACACAGCAAGTGATGTGGTGAGAATGCAAACCTCGGGATGCTGCTGTGTGTTTTGCAAGTCAGGTTCCCATCCCCCCAGCAACACAACTCACTTTCCCACAAGCCAGACTTTCCACTTCCTTCCCTGGCGCTCCTCATTTCAATGAATGACCCCTCAATTTAACCCACTTGTTCAGTTCAAATTTCAGTTTAACCTGCACTTCACAGAAACTTCACAAAAATTTCCTTTTCATTTTTTTTCACAAGTTTTACATCTATCCCATCATCAAATCCTAACAGATCATTTTCCCAGTGCTCTCAGACTCTGATCTCTTCTCACCCCCTCCAAGCCATTATTCTGTCCGTGGGGAGTGACTGCAAAAAGTCATTCACCTGTCTCTGTTTCTACAGCAGAATGAACCTCTTGAAACATAAATCTGATCATGTCACTCTCCTGCCCAAAACTCCAACAGCAACATGAATTGGCCTGTCCATCCCTTGACCTTATCTACTACCTCTGCCTCACACATCGTTATAGTCTTAATGTCTTCCTTGCTGTTCCCCAAATATTCCAAGCAGGCTCCATCTCAGGGCATTTGTGCTGGTTTCCTTTACCAGGGATGCCTTTTATGGAGGCACCCCCTGAGCCTGGACCTTTGCTTCATGAGGCATTTGTTCAAGTCTTCTCTGCAGAAAGACCTTCCCTGACAGCCCATGTTATGGTAGCGCCCTCCCACCACCTCTCTCCAGAGCATTTATGTCTACCTGGCATTACTTCATTCATTTATTGATATGTGTTTGCTTTCTGTCTCCTCCCACTAAAATGCAAACTTCATGGAAGCAGATATTTGGTCTGTTTTGTTCACAGCTACATCTCCAGGACCTTCAGAACAGTGCCTAAAATAAGAGCGAGGCTCAGTAAATGATTGAGTGAATGAATAAAAGGGACTGGATACTTTAAAATCTAAGTAAAAAATTCAGATTATATGGCTTTACATATTTTCCTTTACTTACTCTAAGAACTACCCTCCTCTTAGATTCCCATTCAGAATATAACCTTTCTCACTCATGTTTCTATAGACTCTTTATGCTTTTGTAGCTTATTCTTATTGGGTCTGCACTCTAGTGATTTATCTGACTATAAATTGGAATGCACATGAAAGGCTACAGTGTTTTCTTAGCCACAATGTTTTGCCAATCTTACTCTCTTTCACAGTGCCCTGTAAATTTCACATGCCCTGTAAATTTTCTGGTTAATAACAATGTTCACCTCTATTACCTGAAAAGGTTTTCTCTCTTTTTTTAATTTTTGAAGTAAAGATCTGACTGTTTAAATTTCTATTTGGAAGATACATAAAGATGGCAGAAGCAGAAGGTTTCTCGGAGAAAAAAAAAATCCCATCATCCCTGTTGTGGATTTTTAATTCATTCATTTAACAAGTTCTTACTTCATACATACTGTGTCTCGGGAAAGAGATGGCAGAATCAAGACTGGGCTCTGTGTTTTCTTGTTTACCAGATAGAATATATTTTCTGTTTCTAATTTTGCAATTTTAAGATTGTCTAAAGATTTTAAATATTGATACCTAATACTGTATAAAAGACCTTTTTTGGTATAAAAGATACTTTAGATGAACACATTTCCCCTTTTCCAGTAGAAATGGATTTCTAAAAATTTTTCTTCACTCTTGCAAATATTTGTCAACGTTCTGTATTAAGCAATAACATTATTCCTAAATACTAACATACTCTAAGCACTAATACATTCTTAGTGACAACTATCAATAATGTTCACTTTATTTTAGAATAAGTTTTACTTGGTTATTAACCAGTTCATTAAGCATTTGTATGTTTTGAGTGTCCGGCATGTGATAGTAACTGTCCTTGAAGAGCTTATGTTTATTTTTTTTTATTTTTTAAGAGTTTATGTTTAATACATAACCATTCACAGAGGACATTTAAGAAGACAGCATGTCTGTGGGTGGTTGAATGAAATAAACACCTAGGCCAGGGATGAGCATGCTGGAAAGTTTAAAGGTAAAATGAATCTATTTCATAGGATGATGACTGGCTTGCATCAGTTAACTTTAACACTTAACAGTAGACTTACTGTGGTTACACAAGTGAATAGGAAACTGTCTTTATAATTTTCACAATATTCCAGTCACCAGGACTAGAATACAATGTGACAACAACCTGGATGGAAGGTTAAAAGACGTATCAAGTGACATGGTGGTTGGGAAGGGAGTGGAATGCTTATAGACACTGCATTTCTTCTGCTCATTCTATATTTTTTGAATTCTTCATATCTGCCAATCCCGTATGTTTCATATGGTGAAAGAGAGAGCAAGGATATTTAAATGAAAGACCAGTCTCATGGTCTTACATTATTACCAAAGTTTATAATACAATCACATTGTATCTGTCAAATATTTCTGAGTGATTTTTATGCTAATCTTTAACATGTCCCAGAAGAAACTTCTGAGTATATGACAATTTACATTATATTCATAATTATTTCCATTCTGAGATTGATCTCCTAAAGAATAAGAAAACCTCAGGATAGTTTGATTCTTAAAATGCAAACTGTTTAACTGGTACCAACAACCATGGCACCTGAAAAATAAAAGCTTTTCTCAAAATGCTCTCGTTTAAATGCATTGCTTAAATTCTGTTGCAAATGACCTTTGTGTTCTGCAACAAACATCATCTGCTACATTCATGGTATTGAATGTCTCTGAGGGTTAGCCTGTTACCCAATCAGTTGAACTCTTCCTAACCACTGATTTCTCAAGGGTACTTACATATTCTTCATAAGCTTCGTGGGCTGGAGGAGGGGGTGCCCTGTATCCCGGCACTGTCGGTGCCCCCCGGGCTCGTGGGGTAGGGACACCTCTTGCTACAGGGGGCACTGGAAGAGCTCCACGAGTCACAGTAGTCCCTCGAGGGGTGAGTACACCTCGTCCAGGTGGTGGGGGAGGAGGAATGGCGCCCCCACGGCCCCTAGGAGAAACAGGTCATGTACAGATGAGAAACCAGTGAGGAGAGAAAGAGACTAAAACAGAGTTTTCATCTTACAGCCATATGATGGGAAGAAAACCAAATTTATCTGTATGCATAAGCACGTGTGTGTGTGTGTGTAATTGAGTTTCTTTAGGCTATAAAGTATTTTGACCTCTACAGTAGAATAAATTTTGTAAATCTTATAATGAAACTCATGTAAAATGCTTGAATATAAAATGAATAAAAAAACAACCAAACACAAACCAATGCACTCATTTTATTCCAGATTTGCCAAGGAGACTCAGATCAGAGCTTCAGCTAACATATAAGTATTTCCTGCTTTTTAAAAGTTCACCTTATGCCAACTTTGCTTTTACAAAAGACCTACATTAGCACCTGTTTTGGCTAACTGAAAGAAATCAGAAGAAGATTCCTGCTTTTCTGAAAACTGTGAAAAGCAAAACCAGTGTTCAGCATTTGTTTTGTAGCAGGCCATTGTAGGGGCAGTGTGCACCCCGAGCAGCTAGAGTGGCCCCACCAAGCTCCTTCCCCAGAAACTACACTCAGCATTTCAACGTCAAGCCGCCAGAGCTTTGAACTGTGTGAACATCTGTGCTTTATCTCCATTTATTTTGTGCATCCATTAGCGATGTATCCTAAGGTACCAGAAGAGCCTGAGAGGTTATTTTTCCGGGGTCTGGGAACACTCAAAAAAAATTTCCATGTAAATTAATGGTAATTGCTTCTTTGCTTTATGCCATTTCAGCTTATGAAAGGTCTCATAGGCATGTTGGATAGCAAGGCAAACCTGTATGGCTCATGGACTATCCGTGAAACTGAACTGCTGAATGTCAATGTCTCCTCCATGCTGGAGGTTATTGGCAGTGAGATGCAATGTTGTATTTACAAAAAAATCTGTCTGCACTTTCATACTTTAGTAAAATGTGGAACTCTAAGCACGGTGATATCATTCTGCTTCTTCCAGTAGCTGAAGCTTGAGGTCACTGAAATCACAAATCATTGTCACTGATTTGTCATCATGCATACAACCCCCTGAACTGGTATTGTCACTAATATAATTTGTCTTCCTATGGTAACTACGGTGTTAGTGAAATACGTCAGGATTCTGCAATAAAAGAAAAGACTGAATGCTCTGTACTACGGTGTTTGACACAAAAGTAACCTGTATTAAAAGCCTAAGATCAAATGGTTGCAGCCAACTTTTATGGCTTTCCAAGGCCTTTGGAAAGGTTGAGTGTTTGAAGTCTTTGGACAAAAGCGTGGTTATTTCACTTTTTATTACGTCTGAAAGGCTGGCCTCCAGAAAGCACTGCTTTCAGCAGGAACACTAAAGCTTTGGGAAAAATGATGATCATTGGGATGTCAACAATCACACTGTTTGGCTGTGCCCACAGATGGGGGATGTAGGTTATGCTTTCTGCTATGAATAGCAGTCAGCTGGCTCTTTCTTGCTTGCAGAAAATGAGCTTTTGTGAGCGAGCAGTAAGAATGCTGGCAGAGTTTTTAAAAGTTTTAAATAGATTATAGAGCTGATGAATAGAGAAATTATCAGAGAACTAATGTCTAATGTACAGAGAATGCTCTCCTGGATTGGGGAAGGTGAAATACAAAAGACCCAGTGCCCAGTGCCTGCTTCAAATACAACAATAGCTGAGAATACACTATACTATCTTATCATGATAATATAAAACACATCTACGAAAAAGGATGTAAAGACCAATTTTACTTCCACTGGGCCTCCAAGCATCAATCTGTTTCCTCCTAAGTAGCGTGAGCATATGTCTGGCTTTGCCTAGAATAGTTCTGATTTACAACTGTTGTCCTAGCTTCCTGTTCAGTTTAGCACTTTAACACTCTGAAAAGTGCCCAGATGTGGGTAGTAAATTATATGTCACCCTGCTTTACATTACATTCACAAGTGCTGTCTATCCCACTGAATAATCACGGGTGAGTAAGTAGTATAACTCCCTGGGCTTAAAGTGGATTTTTCTTTTTTTTTCTAATGGATAAAATCAGATCTCTGAATCTGTAAACAATTCTTCCTGCTTTAAAATTATATGATGCTCAGGGCACCTGGGTGGCTCAGTCCTTTGAGCGTCGACTCTTGATTTCGGCTCGGGTCATGACCTCAGGGTGGTAAGATTGAGCCCAATGTGGGGCTCTGTGCTCAACGGGGAGTCTTCTTGAGATTCTCTCTCCCTCTCCCTTTGCTCCTCTCCCTGCTCAAGCTCTCTCTCTTTCTCTCTTTAAAATTTTTTAAAAATTATATGATGCTCATATCAGACCTGATTTCCCACCCTATTCCTCCCCCAGTTGCATCACAAACACAGCCCTAGCAAACCTATCTCCTGAATCTGACTCATCACCTCCTATACGTTGTGTCCTTTCCTTGGAATTTTAATCTCACATCCCTCTTCTCCAATTCAACTGAAATTTCACATCACCTATTTTAGGATACTGGCCCTGGCTGAATCTACACTACAGTATTCTTCATTTTTCTGACTTCTTGAAAGTTTTCCATCCTTAATTCTCTACCGACTGCTCATTCCTGAACTGAATGTAATCTAGTTATTGCCTCCCCACTTTGTTGAAAATACTCCTGACTGAGATTACCAGTGACCTATCAGTTTCCAAATCCACTGATTCATTTACAGTCCCCATTCCACTGCACTTGTTATATTTATCTCTGTGGATTGATTACTAGCTGGAAAATGCCTTCTTTGGACTCTTGCATTCTCTAACGCTAATGATGACTATTACCTGTTTCATTCCTAACACATGCCATATCCTGGATTATATGCCTTATATCAGAGGTTCCTTCACTTGTCTGCATATTAGAATTTCCTGAAGACTTAGAAAAATTCTAAATTCCAGGCCACACCCCAGGCCAGTTATATCACAATCTCTAACGGCAGGAAACTCTCAGTGATTCCGAAGTGCAGACCAATTTGGGAACCACTGCCTTATATGTATCACTTAATTTAAAAATCTTGACAACATTGTTATGTGGCTAATTCTGAGATAGTTTAAAGGTTGAGTACCAAGTCACAGAAAGTACAAGTCACTTGCTCAAGGTCACACTAGCAATCCATAGACCTTGAATTAATTATAGTAATAATTATTCTTTGTGTATCTTGGTTCTTCACTTAATCTTAGTTGACAATGTCATTAATCTCTAACTAGGCTAGACATCAGAGAGTTATCCTTGTTGTGGGCCAAATATTCTTTCTTCTCCAACATCTAATTGGGCACTAATTCCTATAAACTCTAATCTCTAACCTAGTATCTCTATAGTCCAAAGAGTGTTCATTTCTGTTTTGGATAATGGATTTGTCTTCTTACCGGCTTCCATGCTATATGTCAGTGTGTTTCTGTCTGTCTCTCTTTGATTACTCTAATTCTTTTCTCTCACTTACAGTGATGACTGAGTAGTCTTTCTTAGAAACAAGTATGATTACTCCCTTCTTTCACAAACTCCATTAGTTCTATGTATTAATTCTCATTGCAGTAAACAAAAGCCTCCAAAATCTGCCCCTAATGTTTTATTCTCTGCAGTTTGCTCTCAATCAATATATAATGATAATGTGTGTCAGAGATGTCAAATATCTTAATTCTTCAATTATGTACTCTAAATTATTATATAGACGTAATGCTTTGTTCTCTGGTATGCATAATTACTGAAAGATTAGTTTTTATAGATATATTTATTGAAATGAAAATTGCTTTAATTAAATACATTTTCAACAAATTATTATAGAAGTTTTCAAATATCCCAGGCACCATTCTTTTTTAATATAAGTGTAATTGAATGACTTAATAAAGTCATAATTTCATAAGTATGTACAAATTAGCATCCATTAACTCATGTTTTCAAGAGCTTCCTAATCAATATGATTTTCTGTTTTGTGAAGCTGTTTCCTTATTCTTTTTTAATTGTAGATATTTTCCATCATGTGGTTTGAAATAGAAGACAGCAGAATTCTGGTCCATTTACTTTCATTAACGTTAATACATTAATGATATCAATATAGCATTGAAGTGAGGTTTAAATTTCAACAATTTTATCTTCTTTTTACATATGTAGTATCAGATTTGTATGATATATGGGATAGTAAAAAACAAAACTTTCAAACAAATTTTTTTCTAACATATTTAAAAATCTAGACCACAATGCACTATTCTTTATTAAACCATTAAAGATTAATATTTTAGAATGAAACTTTACTGAAATTGAAATCTTATATGATCCACTCAAATACTCAAATATAATGTTACATTAAGGACCATCAATAACAAAAAAAATCTATTAATAAGATTTTATAATCTCAAAAGCAAGTTAATGCATTATTTTTTTTAAATGGTCCTAATTTCAGGCATATAGAATAGAAAAAACTTGTCCCCCCTCTGTAGACTTTCTAAATATATATTAGGTTACACCATATAAAACTAAATATATATTAGGTTACACCATATAAAATTTGGCATTTTGGAAATTACAAAAGTGACAGTTTCATTATTTAAGGCATATGATTTAATCAATTTAGGATTACCTGCAATGATATCATTTCACAACCCATCATGATGAGGTTAGAAATGTACAAGGTTTTATAAAAGACTGATTCCATAAAAAGTATATCCATAAAAAAAGTTATGTCACATTAATTTTTAGCAATAAAAAGTGTTCTTAATTAGCATTACAGAGCTCTTATTTTCATCTTTAGGGATAAAAATGTAATAATCTCTAGAAGATTTTAAGTTTTCCTTTAGTCAAACGTAATTTTCAAAATTGCCACATTTTTTTTTTAAGATTTTATTTATTTATTTGTCAGAGAGAGAGGGAGAGACAGAGAGCAAGCGCAAGCAGGGGGAGTGGCAGGCAGAGGGAGAAAGCAGGCTCCCCATATAGCAAGGATCCCAATGCGGGACTCCATCCCAGGACGCTGGGATCACGACCTGAGTGAAGGCAGCCACTTAACCGACTGAGCCACTCAGGCGTCCCACCATATTTTATTTTTAGATAGCTATTGCCTTGGTATTTTACTTGGATATTTATGATATTTATCATTTTTAATTTTTTTTCTGATTACAAAATGGAGGTGTTTATGATTTAAATGTTAAAACTGGTTTTTTGACACTGGTGGTTGACAATATTTGGGGCATAATTTAATAAATAAATTGAATCAGCAAAGTATCCTAGAATCTCTGAAGATGATTTCTATGCAAGGTATGAAATAATATTCTAGATCTACGTCCTTTAGAGATTTGAAGGCCAGCTCTAACAGATAGAGAGAATGACTGAATTACACAGTCTATGTGTGAAGGCTATGAGTATCCTTTGCCTTACCTTTCCTCAAACCAATGCTTTCTATTGAAAGTTTGACTAATTCAGAATCGTACAAAACAAATTCTGATGCAGAAAGTTTCCAATGTTTGGTTTTTTTTTTTCTGCAAAGTGAATAACACCCAATAAAATCCTCTCTGTTGACCAAGGACATTGCAAAGTCAAATGTACCTGAACTTTCAATACTCTTACCATCAACCATACAAGAAGTGTGCTTCTGGATTTCTGGACTAGTGGTGCATCTATTATTTACCTATCCATCTAAGTGTCTACCTACCTAGCTAATCATCACCTGTCTCTCTACCAATCCAGAAAGACACATTTTTAACTTTCTCTTCATGCAATGTCATCCTGGTTCAAAAAAGGCAAATAATTGTATCATCTGCATGCTCTAATCTTGAGGACAGAACCACCAAGAAGAAAGTCTCAGGTTTGCACTTCTTATTTTCTTAGGATAGTTGTTAAAAGCTCTACCTGCGAATTCTAGAGTCAGACTGCTGGTGTAACCTTGGGCAAATTCTTGACACCTTTCTGTACCTCGATTTGTCACCTGTGAATAATACTTAACCCCAGTATGGAAGACTTGATGAGTTAATTTATGAAAGTGCTTATGCATCATATAAGCATTCAATGTCATGGTTTTTGTCGTGGTGGCTGGTGGTGGTGTTTATTCCTAGCTGTGACCATGGCACAGAGCAGGTCGGCAAAGGCTTGCCATCCTCATTTGCTGTTAATTTATTTCAAGTAAGAGCTAATGTACCTTGAAGGGGTTGTGGGAGCTATTCTGATCCCTCTGCCTCTAATACCTCTGCCACGACCAGAGTCCTCTGAGCCATTTAAGTAAGATAATTCACGTAGTTGTTCCTGACGAATTTCATCATTGTAGTCCTAGGGAAACAAAAACAAAAAACATGACCCGATGAGTTAAAATAGGGCATGGGGGTTCTTAGAGCTGAACAAACACAACATCAAAGGATATTTTTCTTCTGTTTTCTGGAGCCTTGTATATGAAAATCTAAAATGATGTAGAAGTGTATATACTTTAAATTCCCATTTTTATATACAGAAATTGAAGTTGCTTCTTTTATCAAGGAAGTACTCAGCAGGAAATCAGATAAAATGTGCTGGGATATCACTCGATGTGTTAGCCAGAAAAGGAAAGACAGCAATACAGAACAAAACTGTGGAATATACCAAAGTGATGATTAGCATAAAGATTACCGAAAAACAACTCTACTGGGATGGTATGTGTAAACTGCAAATGACTGCATGATACTCAAATAGCTAGTGATGCATAAACGAAAAAGGGGCAATCTCAAGGCCCGAAGTAGACACTGTGTTAAAATCATAAAGAAGGGGAAATCATATGGCACAGTTTCAGACAACTGAGAAGCTGTGCGATCCAATCAAACAACTTGATGGACAATATTTAAAAATAAGGAATTTTCTGTGTTCTAGCACTGGGATGATGGAAAGATAGCCATAGTAAAAGGCAAATTTCACAGCAATAACCAGAGATTCAGTCAAAGTCAAAGGGACTTTCTTTATCTTTCATCAGTGTGGAAATATATCAATCATTTTAATGGGACCAAAGAATGGATTGGGGTCACTAACGATGAATACTCTTTAAAAAACAAATATCAGTCTTACTTGTCTCTCCTTTTATTAACACACACACACACACACACACCCTTGCTTGAATAATACAAAACTGAATAATTGGTTATTTTTACCAAATGGCCAATCTGATTAAATTCTTTTTCAGTAAATATATGTTTAAGTGAAATCACTGTAGTGGATTTGCTAGTGCTGGAGAGGAGCCTAGAAGTGGACACTAGAAATATCTGTAAAGGGCATGCTGACAGAAATGATGTTTGAAGCCTAGTTGTGGGCCCAAAAACCAAGTGTATCATCTCACCAATGTTGCCAGTTTAGCTCTGCATATATGTGTACAGTAATATTAACCAAACACTGTGCATCCGCACCCACACACCTCTGTTTAGAAAAAGGCAAGGATGCATTCAGCCTACAAGGATTTCTAATGCACAGCTTTATCTGATGCTCCCAAAGTTGCCTTGATTACAAGCAGAAGTACTAGTCACTCCAAAGCATTTATCTTCTTATTTTTAACATGTTGCTTTCATGTTCATCCTCTTCAGCACCTCATAATGGGTTCAGCACAGTTGACCGACAGAAGAGCTATATAGTAGAAAATTACAGTTTCCACTGTAATATATATTTTCCACTTCTACTCTTAATTTTCACATTCAAGCAACCATCAAACTGAAGAATAAACATGTCTATTATTTCATTAGGATCAGGGAATGTGATGAATTGTTACTTCTGATGAACTGTTAATTCACCTGAGTGAATTGACCAGCCACTATTAAAATGAAAAATTAATTCCATAATTTTCCCATGTAATATTCCTAATTGGCAAGAGGATCACTGCAGTTTCCTATCTGAGGAAAACCCATGAACTCTCAGGGTCCTTATGAATTATAAAATGAGATAGATTTTCATTGTTGGCAACACTGAAATTTAAAAATTCAGAAATTGCAGATGAATCCAATATATGTAAATTTTACTTTTATGCTAGAATCAGAAAATGTAATAATGTGGATGTAGTCTTATGTATTGTATACTCATAAAGAAGAGGGGGAGGAAGAGACTGGGGACAAAATAGGGGAGAAGGAGGAGAAACATATTAATCAGACAGTATGAAAGAATAATTCCCAATTTGATCAGGCCTCCCTGCATCCATATCTTGGAAAGGTCCCATCACACTGACTCTAGAATTACCCATGTGATTTGTTTTAGCCAGCTGGACAAGAAGAAAGGTGACAAAAGCAAAGACTTGAAAAGTGCTTCCATACTGGAGCTTGCCCTTTCTTGCCACCAGATGAAGAAGCCCAGGCTGGTTTTCTGGATAATGAGGACCATGTGGAGAGAGGCTCCAATCACCCCTTCCCTCCCACCATCCCATCTGAGTTCCCAAACATGTGAGTGAGGTCATCCTGGGCCATCCAATATGAGTCAAGTTGATGAAGAGTGGAAAAATCACCCTCTCACCCCCAGAATGGGTAGAAATAAATAATAAAGTGGTGCTTAGGGCGCCTGGGTGGCTCAGTTGGTTAAGCGACTGCCTTCGGCTCAGGTCATGATCCTGGAGTCCCTGGATCGAGTCCCGCATCGGGCTCCCTGCTGAGCAGGGAGTCTGCTTCTCCCTCTGACCCTCCCCCCTCTCATGCTTTCTCTCTCTATCTCATTCTCTCTCTCTCTCAAATAAATAAATAAAATCTTTAAAAAAAAATAAATAAAGTGGTGCTTTAAGTCAGCATTCTGGTGGTTTATTTTCTGCAAAAGCTAACAAATACAGAGGGGGCTGGTCAGCCTCGAACATGAGAGACCGAAGTCAGAGGCATACTTCAGCAGCTTTTTTCCTCTCCTGTCCAAAAAAGGGTGCATAGGCCCAGGTGTGATCTACATGTTTCTTGTAGGGCAGGTACAGCCCTAGTAATGGAGGTAAATATAGCTAATGTCATACCCTAGTGTCATTAAAGTTTGAACTGTCCACTTAAAACACTTTATTCAGAGTCTGTGTTCACCGATCCAACTGCAGATTGGAATTCAGCTTCTAGACAGAAACCTGCTAACATGGAGAGAATCTGTTTATCTTATTGACATGAATATTTGACACTGTGGGTTAATTCCTAGTGTAAGCAACACAACTACTGTTGATATATAATCAAGTTTTCTATAAGCTTAGCTAGATACTCTATTTAGAGAAATGGATCATCTTCCAGGGTTGTGGTGGTCAAGAGAATACAGACCTCTGACTACAGATGTAATTGACTAAGAATCCCAGTTGTTCTGTTCTGAAATCCTATTGCTCCTAAGACCATGCTCCCCAAGAACAACTCCTAGTCAATGACCAACTGTGGTCAAGATGCTAAAATAGGCCCATTCCTGGGAGTCACGGGACCCCTTTGCCCTGTGCTTCAACGATTCTCTGACAACCTTGCTGAACTTGTTTTTGTTTTTTAAGATTTATTTACTTATTTAGAAGGGGGAGGGGAGAGACAGAGGGAGAGAGAGAATCTCAAGCAGACTCCCCACCAAGCATGAAGCCCTACACAGGGCTCGATCTCACGACCTGGAGATCATGATCTGAGCGGAAACCAAAAGCTGGACACTCAACTCACTGGGCCATTCAGGCTCCCCTGAACTTGCTTTTAATGTCGTTGCACCAGGACAGTCTAGGCCCTTCCACCTCTCTTTCCTTTCGGTCAAATATTGTAGCGTGAGGGCTCTCCAGTCTTCCTTGGCTCCCTTATTATTTTTGTTGTTGTTGTTGTTACAGGAACATTTTCCCTATCAAAATCCTTATGTGTATAATCCCAATTTGGCATCTGCTTCTTGGAGGGCACAAGTGAATATACAAAGTGTTGACAAAACCAGGTTCCTAAGATTACAAAGCTGAGAGCTTTGATAAATACACTAATGTTAATGCTTGTGGAGCTTATTTTGTTCAACACACCTTATACTCTGATTAAATTGGAGTACTTGCAGTTCTTTTACTTAAAAATGGTTATATACAGATTAAAAGTGAAACTTGAAGCTGATTATTGATTACCAAAAAGGGTAGTAATTGATATTTTTTAAGAAAATGAATTGTATATTGCCCAATTTTTTAACACCTCACTTAATAGGACAATATTAAAGAGTCATGGAGTGGACAGACGCAAACCATATCTTGGGCAGGAGACCGGAACAATCTGGTTGGCTCAGATAAACTGCAGCAACAATGAAAAGCTGTGTGTGCATGTGTGTGGTGGGGTAAGAGAGAGAGAATATGACCAACGACAAAAAAATTTAGGAGTCTTCGACTGGGAAGTATATGATGTGATTGGGAAAGGTAGGGACAAAAGACATTTTTAGGTGCAGAGATGGTTAGAAGTAGAACATTAACCATATAAAAGAAGCAATGAGGGAAAAAAAGTTTAGAGGCGGAGAATTTGTATTTGGTCTTTTTAAGATTTTATTTATTTATTTGAGAGAGAGCATGTGCTCGATGTGGGGTAGGGGCAGAGGGAGAGGGAGAAGCAGACTCCCTGCTGAGCAGGGAGCCAGATGTGGTGCTGGATCCCATGATCCTGGGATCATGACCTGAACTGAAGGCAGACCCTTAACCCACTGAGCTACCAGGTGCCCCTTGTAGTTGGTCTTAATCACCTTAGGTTTAAAATGCCAAAGTGACATTAAGTGTTATCTTAGAAATTCAGATCTGGGTGGGGAGAGTAAATTTGAATGTCATCTGCACATATTTGTGATAATAGAATATTAGCACAAAGATTGTATAAGAGATTAGTAAAATAATGCAGTGATAAAAATTTTCTAATACTTTTAATGTAAATTCGTATCACTGAAGATGTCAGTTAACTTATTAAATACAGTGTTTTGGATCATTAAATGTTAAAAGACCAGGTCTTTTAATAAACTCAAGTTTTTCTAATTAGACAACCAAAATATATACACCACTGTATTTATAGTAATGAAGCATCTCCATGTTGCAAATAAATATGGAAGAGAACTTTTTTAATGCCCACATGCAAGGATAGTTGATACTAAATATTTTCTAGACTGAATATATTCTGTGGATTATTTTTATAATATAAATATAATTTTCTAAACCCTAAATTCTGTAATTTTATATTATAGTGCTTTTTCCAGTCTTCATTAAGCACAGATCTAATTTTCAATTAATCTTTCATAACTAGAACATGAGTCTACCTGAAGCTAGTATATCCAGTTGAACATTTAACTGTGGCATGTGTTGTTGATGCTTCAGTTATATAACATCATTTTTTTTCAGTTATATAAAACCT